GGGAAGTCGCGAGAATAGACCGGACGCTTTTTCGGCGAGTAATCCCGGAATGAGGGTGTGCTTTGCAGGTCGTAATTCGATTTAAACAAGATGCAAACCGCACGGCATGACGGCGTATGACCATGCATTCGAATGAGCCTCTTAAGAGGTTAAGACGGATCGCGGTATCGTACGTTCAGTAAAGCACGTTCACGACCGAAGAGGAGTAAAAGAGAAACGAACGCATGAGCGTCATCGCGTTCTCGCATAAGCTTGAATCTCTTCGAATATACAGAGAATGGAATACACTAATATGCGCGAAAAGATCTTACCTAGATTTCCGTTTTCCATAGGCTGCTGCAAGATCTCTTTCGCGATATAAACACATAAACATTCGCGCAAAATAAACAAGTAAATACAAGAAAATAATTGTAAAGATATTACATTCGAATTAAATAAAAGTAAATCGATAAAAAGCAAATTAATTTATATAATAAATAATATAGCAAATACGTAAAAGACATTTTTCTATCACCAGAAGATTGATACGTGTTATCGAAATAAAGTCTACGGTTTTCCATCTTTAATTCTTGCTTGATAGAAATGCGCATCAATATCCGACGTATTTCCACAGACGCCTAACAAAATATAAAAGCGAGGAAGCAATATTATTTTATATTAGACAGAGACTATTAGAGAATGAATAGAATCATGTCTCTGGATGGTCTTTCCACAAGGCGAACAGAGAACAGTCACAATTAATAGTTCTCTTCTAGACTGAAATAAATAGGGTCACTGACATTGCACTTGTGTAAAACGTTCAACGCGTACAATGTCCGATGCGTAAAATGTCGCTTCACCGACCGTCGAATCGCCTACACGGAAGAAAACGCAACTTCGCGCAAATCTCTATTGTCGATATAATAATCCTGCATCATATATTATATATAAATATAAATTTATGATGATTTTTTTATTTCATTATTATATATCCGTGTGTGTGTGTGTGTGTGTGTGTGTGTGTGTGTGTGTGTGCATATAATATCTTTTTAATGAAATGTATCATTGTATTACACATCTTATCCATGTTTATTTATGACTTTTTAATCAAATCGGCGGATACATTTTAAAAGTGCTATTGTTTTGTGTGGATAAATTTTATTTTATAAATAAGGAATAAGAAAGAAAAGTAGATGCATAAAAAAGCAAAACGTAGCAACGTACGAAATGTGTGGTCATCTGTTTGTTCAAACTGTAATTTCAAGTACCTTCACTGTTGTTTATGTAAAATCCACGAGTCGTACTGCGCTATATTAAAATTTTATAGCTTTGAAAGTACATATACAGAAAGTGCGCAACTCTAGATATACGTTGCAGAAAATCTAGCTGCCTGACAAAGATGTTCTTTTTGATTCCCAAGAGACTTTTACAGAATGGCTGCATCGCTCTCACGACTTACTATTTAAGCTAGCTCTCTGTCGAAAATATATAGCATCATAATATGATATGATTTAATATACAATAATGCTTAAAAATTTCTTTTGTGTCCGTACATTTGTACTTTTTAAAAATAACACGAATTATTCTTTTACACAAATTAATATCCTTTAATCATATGTGTGTCAAAAGAGAGAGAGAGAGAGAGAGTTGATTTTCGTTAAATATCGTTAAAAAAAGATGTGAAAAAAGAGAGATAAGAATTATTTTTATATTTTATTATCGCCGTCAGACATATTACAATAGTTTTCTGATATTTTTATCGTGCCTTATTATTTTTATATTATATCCACAGGATAATTGAAATTAATTAATTTTAATACAATTTATTTAAATCTTGTCTATTTGAATAGAGACAGGAGTAAAGATTTCATGTTTATAAAGTTGCTAAATACTCAATTATACATATATGTATAATATACAGCGAAATGATTTAATGTTTCTTTTTAATAATCGAATAGGCAAAGAAACGAAATCGATAATCGAATCCTTTCAGCTTGCTTTTTTTTTTTAATCGAAAAAATGAAAGATTTTTCATCTTTCTTTTCTCTCAGACGTCACAGACGTCGGTTTCGTTGGATTTCCCTCTAAACCTAGCGACGAAAAATCGGAGATCAAAGATGATGGACGAGGACGTTACCCTTCTTTTAATGCCACTTGAACGCTGAATTGGCGCACAAGCGATTTCCGGGGACAAAAGAATTCCTGATAGGGAAGTAGAATAGTTTGCCGAATTTCGACACGCGCGATGCATGGTGCAATATCTATGCAGATTAACCGATCCGCAGATGCAGATTTGAATGTTCGATGTTCGGAATTGAGAGTCGTGCCAAAACGCATTCCGACCTCGTAAAGGAGGAAACAATGAGCGCACATTAACTGGTATATCAACTTTATTCTCATTAATTATATTATTGTGCATATATCGACATTTTTATGATAATTAATTTATTTTACGAGGTTAATCGATCCTTACGCATATTTATATTATTTTTTAATTAATTAAAATTAATACATTACATTTGCCAAAAAAGACAATGAATATAATTGTTATCGTATAAACTGTTTAAATTTTTTCGAATTATTAAAATATTTTTCAGACCGATGCGAAAATGATACCGCTGCTAATTTGAATATTTTTATTCTAAGGAAATGTTTATAATACGCGTTACTGTAAATCAAATTTTATTTTCTCTTGTGCGTGCAACAATAAGAATATAATATACTTGTTTGAGCAATAAAGAAATTAATAATTTTACTTGAGGATCACTACATTATTCGTTTATATGACTATATGTATATATATAGATAAAGATTGTGTTATCATAAAAAGTAATACAAATCAAAGCAAATAATTCTATAATCAAAACATTTTTTTAATTTTTATACAATCTATTAACATTTTGCAATAAATCTTTGTATTTATATATTTTGTCCTACAACTTAATGATAGTTTACAACCAATCTCAAGGTAGATTACAGTTCAGTCACTTCTTGACGGCATAAAAAAAAAAAAAAAAAAAAAAAAAAAATTCCATTAACATTACGAGGATAAACGCGTTTCATATACAAGTATTCTGCAAAGCTACGTTCAAATATCCAAATTATAATAATAAGAGGATAATTTTTCTTTACTCGGAAATTATGTATTAAACTCTCCTCCCCCCTTTCTTCAACATATACGTGAAAATAGTTTTTTTTGTGAAACTTGTGCCTTGACAAGGCGCGTTCTTCTCGTTTCATTTATCCTTATTCCATTTTCCCGCGTACCGTTTCATCCCTTCGCGAGATCGCGCTGCACCGGCTGGAGGAACGGTGTGCTCCATCCGGCAAGGAATTACGCCCTTGCGCACCTTTCCGTTGCGTGGTGGCGGGTGCCGGGTGCCGGGTGCCGGCTGGGTACATACATACGTATATCCGGGGGTCGCTGGAGGTCGTCGCGAGAGAACGGTCGAATGTTTTCTATCCGGTCAGTACCGTTCGGGAGAGAGAGAGAGAGGATGCGGCCTAGGTGGGCGTTCGGGATCGATCCCCGACTCCATTCCCGTGACGTCACTCGACGAGAGGATAGAAGGAGAGAGAAAGAGGCCGGGAAGGGTGGCGAGGGAGATGGTATAGCCGGGACTCTCCGGGCGTCCCGGCAATGTACTCCTCTCACCCTCTGATGGTGCTGCCACTGCTGCCGTTGGTGCTGCTGCCGGTGCCGGTGCACCGTGTGAAACGACGTGTAGCGTGTAGCGTGTAGCCGGTAGCTGGTAGTTGTGGTGGTGGTTCGTATCCCACCGTCACCGTGTCTCCCACACTCGACCCTTGTCGTACGCGGGGGAGTCTTTTTCGAAAAGTACCGATCGATCGCGACCTTCGTCGCCGTGAGTCGTCGCGGACAAGAAGTACGCGTACGATCGTCTCGCAAGACAAGTCGCGTAAGACATCTCGGCTGTCGTATAGCTAAGGGAGAAAATCGCCGGGTCCAGGTAGTCAGTGGTGGTGCTGGTGCGCTGCTGCCGCTACGTCTGCCGTCCCGTGAAACGACGTGTAGGTAGTGGTGGTCGCAGTCTCTGATGGTGCTGCCACTGCTGCCGTTGGTGCTGCTGCCGGTGCCGGTGCACCGTGTGAAACGACGTGTAGCGTGTAGCGTGTAGCCGGTAGCTGGTAGTTGTGGTGGTGGTTCGTATCCCACCGTCACCGTGTCTCCCACACTCGACCCTTGTCGTACGCGGGGGAGTCTTTTTCGAAAAGTACCGATCGATCGCGACCTTCGTCGCCGTGAGTCGTCGCGGACAAGAAGTACGCGTACGATCGTCTCGCAAGACAAGTCGCGTAAGACATCTCGGCTGTCGTATAGCTAAGGGAGAAAATCGCCGGGTCCAGGTAGTTAGTGGTGGTGCTGGTGCGCTACGTCTGCCGTCCCGTGAAACGACGTGTAGGTAGTGGTGGTCGCAGTCGTCGTGGTGGTGCGTTTCGTCTTTCAAGTTCGTCCCCCGTCGCGGACCATCGCATCGACCGCGATCCTCGCAAACGCGAGGGACCGTCGCCGTCCTCACCACGGACTCTTCGTCGTCGATGCATCTAATCGTAACCGGTAAAATTCCCGACCATCTTCATTACGGTTATGTTGCGGCACAGTGCGAAACGTGTGCGGCTATTCTTTCTCTACTTCTCCATTGTTATTATCAATTTGT